CCAATTATGCTATATGTTAACGTTTCTTATGGGAAAAGATGTCAGGAGGTTGTAAATTGGTCTGGAGAAATATGTAAGGTGTTTCGCAAAGCCATATGTAGATACAGATACACACAAATACAGACACAGATACAAAAATACACATATATACATACGTACGAACAAAACAGATGAAAACACATGCACAGGCGTATAGTCACGCAAATACACATACAGTGGCACACATACACACACGCACGCATAGCACAAACGCAGACACAACACAGACACAGACACAAAATCACACAAACACACACGTACAAACAAACATGAAAACACACGCATAGACAGACACAAAGCATACGCACATACACACGTACAAACAAATAGATAATAACACAGACACAGATGTAGTCACACAAACACACATACAGTAACTCAGACACACATAGACACGCACACAACACAAACAAAAACACACACACACTTAAAACACACACACGCACACACTCAAAACACTCACACACACACACTCAAAACACACACAAACAAACACACACACACATACACATTCCCTCATATCCCCCTCCCCTCCACCACCACCCCACGCACACACACACACTCTCTCGGCCACATGCATGAACCACCGCCCACTTTTCCAATGTGATTTTACCCCGTTATAGATAATCTCTTATTGACACCTGAGACATAGTTGTGGGTGGCGCCAATGGTGATCAGGGTTCAGCCTCTCCTAAATCTGTGTTTTTTTTTTTTCCTTTTTGCCTACACGATTTATCTATTTATATATTTTATTTTTTTTGGGGGGAATTGAGTTTTTTTGTTTGTTTTTTTGCTTACATGATTTTTTTTTTTTGAGAATTGAGGTTAGGATTAGGTATGTATATGTGTAGATGGTAGGGTATGGTTAGATTTAAGGTTGTGTGCATGGGTATGTTAGGATTCTGTGCATGATTATGGTAAGGGAGTATGCATGATGATCTTAAGGCGACGGTGTGCATGCTTACCTTTGGAAAGTGTGCATACTTATCCTTAAGAAAGTGTGCATACTAACTTTAGGAAACAGTGCATAATTACCCTTAAGAAACTATGTATACTTACCCATAAAAAAGTGTGTATACTTACCTTAAGAAAGTGTACATGCTTAACCTTAAGAAAGTGTATATATTTACCTTAAGAAAGTGTGCATACCTTAGGGCAATGTGCATGCTAACCTTAGAATTAACTTCTGTTCTTGCATGTTTATGAAAGTCTCTTTATTAGTGAGAGGATACTGCACATAATTGCAAAGATACATTTATTTGTTCACGCGTATGTGTCCTCACTCGTATTTTGGCTTACTTACTGTGTACATGAACAATATATATGTGTGCGCATAAAAATACATAGTATAAACAACATCATGCATTGGAAGCCATGTGGATGAATGATTTTATGACCTAACGTAAATAATTCATGGAGAGTATACTTAGAATTACTAAGCACATTGAGG